TTCTGGCTGCTGGCTCTATATAAGAAAGCCTGTGAGTAAAAACCATACTTTGGTAATGAGAAAGCTAACTTTAACCTGTTTTAATGTTATTGTTTCATCAAAATTAAAATAAATACCAAACCGTTAAAGTGCATTCATTTCATTACATTTTCAATTATTATGCTCTTCACTTTTTAACTTTTTTTGTTTTTATTTCTTATATTATATTATTCAATATTATTGTTCGACGCCTCAGGTGCATTTCGAATGTTTATGAAGTATTGTACGATATAAAAGTTCAAATTTAAATGGTTAATAATGACATTGAATTCATATTGCAGTATATGAGATCAAATTAAAACAAAAAATAGCAATTTTTTAATAGTTTTATTGCATATATGTACATCCGTTCGAAATTTTTGAACTCTTAAAAGTTAAATTTTTTTTAACAGGAAAATCAGCTTTAGTAATTTTTAACTATGTATATTTGTTTAATTTTATAATTTTTTTTATTGATATATTTTAAAAATTTCAATAAAAATTATTTATTTTCCTTAAAAAATGTTTACAATTATATTAACAAATATTTTAAATTGAAATAATTCCTACTTTTGAAAATAAAATATAACAGATTTTCGATGATTTTTTATTTAATATACATATGTATGTATATTTTCAACACTTTTTTTTGGAAATATATTTTTTTTATTATAAAAATAAAAAACTGAAATTCAAATTTTTTATTTAAAAGTGTTATTAAAAATTTTAAATAATTTTATTTTTATTTTTTATGTTTTACATATCATTGCAGAAACAAAAAAACATAAGTTTAAACTAATTATTTTATACGGTTATTACAAATTTTAAATAAATTTTTTTTTTTAACTTTTAATTTAATTAATTTTAAATTTTGAATGCTCAATTTTTTATATGGAAACGTATGTTTAGCTTTAAGTCAAACATTTTTGACAAAAAACTTCAAAAAAAGTTTTGAAAAAATTTTTATTATTTAAAAATTATACAATATTAAAATATTATATATCTACAAACTCTATGTATTTAATATTTATATTTAATTTTTCTTTTAGTTTTAAATAAAAAATGTTTTTAAGTTTTTATATTAATATTTTTTTAATCAGCTAGTTATATTTATAACTGACCTTTTTTTATCTTTTTGCTTGATTATGCGCAAACTACTAATAGAAAATTCTAAACAACATTTGCATTTCAGATAAGCAGTCGGCACGCTGCGCAACTAATAATAATAAAATATTAAATACCAAAGAAAAGCAAAACCTGTGTCGGCAAACAGACTGAAAGTCAGTCTTAAACTCAGTAATATTATGATATTAAAATTACTGCTAAAACTTGTTTTGCGCATAAAATAGTGTCTGGCAGACAGGTTCATTTATGTTCAAGATGAACCACTTCAAAAGTTGGCAGCAGCAACATAAAAAAACAAATTAAAAGTTTTTTAAATTATTTGCTTGCTTATAGGCTTAAATAAAAAATTTACAAAATATTAAAAAATTTCAAAAATCAAAAAAAAAATAAGAATAAAAAAAAGTAAATATATTTTCGCACGCAAGGTTGTCAAGTCAACGGCTATATCGCATATGCAAACAGCGCGAGAAACTCGAATTCTTACGAAAGTATTTACTTACATACATATATTTACAAATGTGTGCGTTTATGCATATCAAAACACGCGTAACTTCTTTCCAGTTTTTATTTTTATAATTTTTTTCTGAGGTGTGTCTCCAGCATTTTTTAGCTGCTGCCCCCCTTTAACGCAAAATTCTAGTCCAATCATTGCGCGCTTCACCGAGACGCGCTTATATGCATATATTTACATATACATATGTATGTACATATGTGTGTGTTTATATGTAGCTTTCGAAATCACGTCAAGTCGTGTCTCACAAATGCCAATTCAAATGACGGCATAATATACTTATGTTCCATAGAGAACTGCCACTACGAGTACTTGTATATGCAAGTATCAACTGACATACATATTTACTTTACATACATATATCCGAACATATCTATTCGTCTGTAGAGAAAAAAATATACTAAAATTGTTGCAATTGAAGCGCTCATTAGTGGAATTCTAAATCTGAAGAATATATTTATCTGCACCCACTTAAGGTTAGTTAGTGCAGTGTCAGTCATATTAATATAAACACGCTAAACGTTTATGAAATCGTTTGTGTAGAGAGATGTTTTAGTTTCAAAATCACCTCCATGACACCATTTTGAGCACTCTTTGCATAGAACTCTCACCTTGGAAGTACGACTTTCAACGAAAATTAGAATCTTTGGAGTGATATAGCGACTCTACACTTTTCGCGGCTTTACTGAGTCCTTAAAAATATATATTTAGCTCACCGCGACTCTAATCCGATAAAACCCCGATATTAACGGATCTCACCTTGGAAGTTAGACTTTCAGCGCAAATTAAATTTTTTGGAGAGATATAGAGACTCTACACTTTTCGAGGCGGAACTGATAAAAACCCGCCATTAATGGATCGCACCTTGGAAGTTCGACTTTTATTGAAAATTAAATTTTTTGGAGAGATATAGAGACTCTACACTTTTCAAGGCAGTACTAAATCCGTAAAATACATATTAAACGCAAAATTAGCAAAAGCGCGACTCTACTCCGCTGAAAACCCGTCATCCACGGATCGCCAACGTTCTTAGAACCACTATAAACTCAAGAAAAATAAATTTGCTCAAAAAGTGTATACTGACATAGCTCGCTCAGTCCACTTTTAAAGCAAGGGAAGAAAATAAAGGTCTAGATGTTTCTTACGAAAATGTTCTTTAAAGACCAAGGGCATTTGGTGGTTCAATGAAGTAAGGAGTCGAGAAGTATACTCGTGAGTTAACGGATGTTTGCACCAGAACGCGATAGTATACTAGGAAATCACAAACTCCCAATAGAAAAGAGCGCCTTTATTACAAAACTTCGTGTTAAATTTTCAAGCACTTCCAGCATGCTGACACTATACTGTATATAACATCGTAATACATTTTTTTTCATGCATCACCAAGCGGCTTACGAAATTGCATAATTGCAGCGTCATTTGAAATATTTGCCTTCGAACGTCGCAAGCTTTTGTTTGCACTCATCATTTTTATTAAATCGCGGATGATCTCATTCCGAAGGAAGTTATGTACATACCTACCAGTGGGTATGCTATTTGCTTTTAATGCCACGCCGCAGTTGGTATTTAATTGGCCTCACATTACAATTACAAGCAATGAAATAATGAGCGCATATGTTTGTACGCTTGCTTCCAGATGCATATTTATTTTGCTATCGAATAAACCGAACTGTGACTGACAGGAAACGCGCTATGCTTACACCACAGACACGGCGCGCCAAGCCAAGCCACAAGATATCGGTTTAAATTGTTTACTAACAAAGTTGTTAGCGTCTGATTTGTTTATAAATGCTAATAATATTCACTTACGGCTAATAATTCAAATAAATGATTAACAGCGAGGCGGTTGTGTCTGTTCAAGGTTCGACTTTGATTATAGCCATAAGGAATTTCGATAGAGTAGTCGATTGCATAAGTCAGTGGTGGAATATGATTTCAATGATTGGTGTAAGACTCTCTTTTGACACTGCCATGACTAAATGATATGTTATAATACAAGGCAATATTCTGTATATAGTATTAGCGCTGCGTGCTGAAGTGCCGAACGGTCGCGTAATTATTGATAGGTCTACCATAAAGTCTGTGAGTAGTTCCAACCATGATATATCCGATAGTATACATGGAACATCGATCCGGTGTGACTGCTCAGTGCTATCGATTCAAAGAAGAATGTTAGAGAAAGCCCTGTATCGATAGAAATTATCGCAAAGCAGTCCAGAAAGATTAAGAAAAGCGCTTTTAATAACAGTAATCCTTATAAAGGTAACAATCTCAGTCAATCCTTACCGAATTCTTATGTTTGAGCTTGAAGCGCTCGACGAACTCTAAACGATATACCAACACGGTTATCTCAAGAGATTGTTCTGTCGGACATCGGAGGTATATAAGTGAAGTTCAAGGAATACAGATCTACTTAGAAATCTAACGAATATTCGAAATTGTGGTTTCTTATGAGTTTTATGCTAGCTGAAAGAGCTGCGCTTTTTTTATAATGAGCTCTTTCGTCTCGGAAAGTCACTTAAGGAGTTTTAACTCTTCTCGAAGAGAGTCCTAAAGGGTACTAAATGACATAGGTGACGGTTTTAAGATGTTATTTCTGTCAGATTTTAAACTAATATACGCTCCGAAAAACTACCGTTCTATTGGCGATAGCATGTAACTGTAATTAAATTGAGATGGGGTACCTAGTGTTTGGTTCGGTTCAAGTTTGGATATTTATGGATTTTTAATATTAGTTGCTTTCATATCAACTTTTTTGCTTTTTGTGGACTCTTAAGGTATATACAGAAGATCGTTTACCTTCGGATCGGTCTGAGATCATACGAGTAAAAAAAAAGGTCCAGTTGGAAATATGTGAATAATATAAAATCAGTTAAGACAGGTCTCAGCCAGAATTTTTACAATGTTGTGTAGAGTTTAAGGAAAAATAAAGCGTTCAAGCCTTTTAGAAGTCCAGACAGGAAACAGACGATATTTATACGCTATTAGCCAACAGTAAATCGAACGGTATAGTGGAAATATATTCATATATATGTATTGTTATACATATATGGAGTATTTTTATAGCATTACAATAGCACAAGCAACAAACTCGTTGCGCTAGCGCGACAAATGATTACCGTTATGCAGCCGCACCACATGCTAAAACACCGCCTCTGCAGACAACAGATATCAAAGTCTCACACCACACGCAAAGACCCTTGATCTTATACTATCATTATAACACCGGCGTAGCAAAGCTGTGTGAACTTTCATTAAAAGACACCGTCATAAATTCTAAAGTGAAATTTGTATTACCACTGAAAGCCCAAGAGTCGAAGAGCGTTGGTGCATGTGTCCCACTTACCTTTTCTATAACCTTTTGCTGTTGCTGTAGATATGTCGACGTATCCAAATCCAAATTCAAAGCTTTGACGTAAAAATGTTTCGAAACGCGCTGCAAAAACAAAAGCAAAAATCCAAAAAACGTAATCCAAAAGCCAAATTTTCGCTCATTTATCAAATATTTTATTATCGACCGAAGGTGTGCGGCTTGTGTTCACATACGCATATACATATGAGTGCTTGTATATGCGCGACTGGTATTTTTGGAGATCCGTGTGTGTGTGTGATTAAAAAAAAAACATAAATAAATAAATTTTATTAAACTTAAAAAGAAAGAAATTAAAACAAAACAAAGTTCAAAGCGAATGCAAGCGAAGAGAAGGAGACGCACAAACACACAAATCGACCAAAAATATGAAAAACGTACAAATCGTCAACTAACTGACCACTTAAACCACTTCCACTACCACTTTGCTGATGTTGCTTTATTTTTTGCTTTTTACCCTTTCAAAGGTTTTTCTTTACTTTATTTTATATGCGCGGGCAGCACAACTGAACAATTCAAGTTTTATTTACATTTGACTGCAGCAGCAAACTCGAACTTTAAGTGGCGCGCAATGCAAAGTACCAACGATATACCGGATTGTGTAGACTTGCGTATAATAAACGCGCTGCGACACTGCGTATATTTCAAGAAACTCGTAGTAGCTACGCGCTAAAGACGAACGTTGTTTATTAGTCGCGTGCAAATCGAAGACTGCGCGAACGCTTGCCGTAACGAAGACTGTAGTGCTGAGCGCACACACGCCGAACAGAAGACGCTGAGCCGCCAAGCCAACGAATAACAAACAGCGCTCAATTGGGCCCCCCAACTTAACGCGCCCACGGCGCTCCACACCGTCTGCTCCCGACATCATGCGCGCAGCTCGTTGCAGACTTGTGTGCACGATTGCGCTGCCGAAGGCGCTCAGCGCTCATAAGCGCTCGCGGCTATTGTCGTGTACGCCGCTGGCAAGCAAAATCACATAAAACTTGGACGTGCCTGCGTTATACACCAAGACGCGCTTAATCGTCGCTGGAGCTAGCTTCTGCCTTATGCGCCAACACTCTACTGCTGATTCCTTACCAAGCGACATGCATTCCAAAATTATTGTTGCGCCTGCGCAACTGTGCGCCAATCTACACGAACTTTTCAACGTTGTTTTTCTGTAAAAAAAACAAAAATCTTACGCGAGCGAGCTCCCATGCGTTTTTGTTATTGTTGCAGCTGCAGCTGCTGTTGTGAGCTGTCATTCAATGTTGACAAAATATCAATAATTGCCGCAGTGCACCGTTCGGCCAAAACAACAACAAGCAAACTCGCTAAACGTTACTCGTTGCGCGTGACTTTACAATCTTTGTGTTCGTCTGCAGCTGCTGCGTCCAACTCAGCGCGCGTTACATGTATAGAAGCCGCAAACTACTCTTGTTACTTTTCCTCACCCGACGCAGTGTGAATTGTTTGGTAACGATTTTCTTTATCAGTATTCGCTTCATTGGTTGCTGTTCTGTTTCTTCAGCCGTGCGTCCGTCTGTCGGTTTGTCAGCCAGTCAATCGGTCTCACTGGCCGCCAAGCAACGGTCTTTCGATTAACAGTTGCTTTTACAAGTAAACAACCACTGAAGCGGCCAGTTGCTTGCTTTCAATGATACAGCAAGACTTGAGCTCACCAGCAACGCACTCCATACGTCATACACATATGTGTGCCAGTTCAATATACATTGTCTAATGTTCAGCAGCGCCGGCATGCCCATCGCCCTGCCAAGCTTCAGTGGTTCCGTCACCTCATCGACGGTGTTAGAAATTCTAGCGCTTTTGTGCAGTTTGCGCTTAGCTGCTAACTGTGTGCACCAATTGGTTCGTCTGACTCGTCTGTATTTCAATTGCAATCTCAAATCGCAACTTCGTCGCTACAAATCGCAACTTCTATTTGCCATTTGGCTTCCCGTCATTTGCGGTCGCAATAGAATATTTGTGGTTTCATTGATTGCCAGCTTGTTGGTGGGAAAATTACGCCTTCTGTCGTGTCTTCTATTTGTTTTGTGTGGTGTCTCTGACCTCTAACGTTACAGCGTCGTTAGTCAGTCAAGGCGATACTTCAATGTATTGATGTGGTTAATGAATGTTTTTTTGATTTGTGGATTGGCAAATAATATTTTCACACGCAAATGATGCGGGAAACGATTAGCCGTCTTGCTGTCTTTCGCTTAACTTTGCAAATATTTTTAGAACACGCAGCGCATTCTTACTTCTTCACTATTTGATCGAGCTTCCGAATAGGTTCGTCAGGTTTTCTAAAAACCAATCAACTTCCAAGTAGGCTTTTCGAAACTCAGCACCTAAAATTCTTAAGCAACCGGGATCGAAGAGATCTATGGAGAGTTCAATAAAGTTTTCTTGAATGAGGGAGACTTTCACAAGCGACTTTGGTGCATACCTATAGCATTCTGAGAATGTTTAGCTACAAAAGTTAACTTTAGTGTGAAAAGACCGAAGAGACCGAAATCGTCGTCTCTACTAACTCCGACTCCTCCTTTTTGGTTGAAGTAGGTCTTTCGAAATTCGAAACCTAAAATTCTTAAGCAACCGGGATCGAAGAGATCTATGGAGAGTT